CAGGGAGAAGATGGGCAGTCTCCACTAATGATCTGTCTTATGCATAATTGCATAACACTGATTATTTGTCTCAGCTGGAGTAGGCCTATTGAATCAGTTGAATTTACAGAGGTATTGACTTACTATTAAGCAGTTAATTCAATGGATCTGCTCTAGCCAATGTTGACAGTTGCCCTTTCAAAATATTTTTTATTAAATTATTTACCTTTGCTTTTGTTCTCTTTTTAGAAGAAGGAACACATTAGCTCTGTTTTGATTACTATTGTTCCTATCATGCAATTTTCCTGACCCTTCAGTGCCTCATATCCTTTCCCCTCAGTGCCCATAGTATATTGTGAAAAGGGTGGCTTTTTGGCCCACTGCAGAGAGGAGATGGGACATCATCATCATCAACATGATGTTTATTCATAATACCTTTTCCACCAAAGGGTGGAACATCAAACATATATAATCAAAAACAGACTATATAACTATGACTAGGTAATTACATGCATAAAGTTGAGGTGGAGCTTCAAAAAACCCTTAATGTCATTCCTAATCCTTCCTAGTACATGTGTAGATTTTGTGACATAAGGAAAAGAGGCTGAGAAAGGAAAGGAAAGCAACAGAGATGTATTAAAAGATGTCAGCCCTAGTGAGTCAGAATCTGAGGCCTATAAAGTCAGTGTCTGCTATAGTAATGAAGACATAGTAGAAATTATGTGAGACAGAGTGAAATGAATAACCGCATACATCTTTTTTTATTTCATTGGCCCAGTAGAAGGCACAGACACTCAAAACTGATGCCAGAGTAGACAGGTTTCCATGTGTGGAAGATAATAATAATAATAATAATAATAAATTTTTATTTGTAGCCCGCCCCTCTGCTAGGCAATCGGGGCGGGGAACAGCAGCGTTTAAAACAAAACAACATTAAAACATTCCCTCTCCCCATAGTCCCTTCCTCCCCCTGCCCCATCCCCTTAAAATAGAATTAAACCAGAAATAAATTAAAATACCATATTAGTTAAA